CCACAGTCCGTGTTTGCACACTGTTATGTACCACAGTCCGTGTTTGCACACTGCTATGTATGAGACTGAATGTAGACTCGGAAGCATCCGTGCTGATCTGGATGACGGCACTCTCTGCCTTCCTGTGTCTACTGACAGTTAGTTCTTCCATGTCAGGGCACTTCCCCACTTCTCCCAGTAAGTACGTGTTCCAGTCTCCCTTCAAGTCTTTCTTTGCCGAACTTTCTGATAGTACATGCCCAACATGGAGGTCTCTAAGAATCTAAATTCTGATTTGTGAATGTGACATGGGACATACTCTGCCCTTCAGTGTCAAGTGTCTAAGAAGTTACTCCTTTGATCTGTGTGTTTCTGTTTCACTAGGCCAGGCTGAGTTCTGACCTTCTGGATATGTTTTTAACTTTAATTCAAATGGAATTATCACTTCCCCGTTTGCCCTTTCCCTTCCAGCCATTCACAGGTCTCCTTCCAACCCCTTCATGCCTCTTCCCACTATGACTATCAATTCACGCGAGTCTATTAAATGTGTGACAGAATTTATTAAGATATAAATTGAGGAAATATACTCATGAATACAGAATGGAGTAGACAGTGGTACTTTGGTCTGATCAGGAGCGAATCCACTTCACAGGCAGGAGCAGTGAGCAGGGGCATGTGACCCTTCTCCAGCTCCTTATAAGAGGTCACATACAGGCAGGAAGCACCGCCTCCTTTGGGCCTATAACCCAAGGTCATGGGCGGAGCAAATACCACTACATCCCACTCTCAAATTGATAGCCTCTTTCTATCATTATTGTTACATACACACATGTCTATATGTGTGCAGACATATACAAATACAACCTGCTGGGTTCATTTTCGTTGCTTATGTGTATATAGTTTTAGGGCTTACTATTGGATAACCAATTAGGGGGCTCAACCCTAGGAAAGGATATAATTCTCTGTCTCAGCACTCATTTGTTGCCTGTAGATCTATGTCTAGGTATGGGACCGTGTGACAATTTCCCTTATCTGTGTTAGCCTGTCTATTGGTTATGCTATTGTTTGGGTCTTGTTTATGCAGTCATTTCTCAGACAGACCGTCTGAGAGCAAACTTACTCATGTTCTGACTCTTACAGTCTTTATGTATCCTCTCTGCAATGTTCCCTGAGCCACAGATGCGGGAGGTATGATGTAAATGTTTCCTTTGGGGCTGAGCTCCAAACTACCTGTGGATCTCTGCACTGTGTCCAGTTGTGGATTTCTGTAATGGTCTCTCTCCCTTTGCTGTACGGAGAAGCACCTTTGATAAGGGGTGGTAGCTGTGGTTACTCAGGGTTATCAGGATAGGATTTAGAATGTAGTATAGAATTGCACTGGTCTAGTAGATTCTTTTCTGAGGCCCATGACCTCACTAGCCCTAGGAAGCTGGCTAGGATTCTAGTGCTAAGCAGGATTTCCCTCCTGTGGAGTGGCCTTAAGTTCAGTGAGCAGCTGTTGGGTGCCGCTTACAGGTAGTCCACGTATGTGCCCCTTTACCGTGCTGGCCATTGTTGTGGTTTATGGGTGTTTGCAGCTGGGTAGGACAATTACTGTCCCTCCCTTGGGAGCTTGCGTAGTATTTTCTGGTGCTGCAGAAGCTAGACCACAGGAAAGAGGCTTTCAGGTCAGGCCCAGCGTGAACCACCGGAGTCAGTCTGAAGCCTGTGTCCCAAGTGTGCAGTATCTTCAGCAACAGGGTTACCTCCAACCTCTGAGGGGCAGCTAAGCTGCAGCAATAGTCTACATTCTTTTGGGAGTCACTTATACTACCCTGACCAACAATTCAAAAGAAGGGTTCTTGTGGGTTCTATTCTACAGTCACTTGGTGGATTGCAGGGTAGTGTGGTGCACCTCTGTGCTGCCACATGTGTTTCGTTTTGTGGCTTTGGCTCTTGGCTCTTGTATGAGAGCAGTTCACAGATTGGTTGAGAGTAGCAGTGTATCTCTGTACAGTGACGGGACAGAATCAAGTTTTCAGTTTTCTAAAGCATCATCCTCTTGTCCTTCTTATCAGTTGACTGTCATAGTCATTGTTTCTGTCCTTTTTACTCCCTCTGTGTGATTTGAGGACAAGCAGCAAGAAGTGTATTGTGCATTTTATGACTTAAACTTATGGGTCCTTTTTGATCTGGTTATAGAGTGGCATTTTCAGGTGTATATACTGTAGCAGTGAACATCAGTTCCCCTATAACCACATTTTCTGCCATTTAACTCAGTTGGCAAGTGAAGAAGTGAAATTAGTCATTTCTACTGCATTTGCTAAACAAAACAGTTATTTGCAAAAGAAACGTCATTCTAGCTTGATCTCTGTTGCAGTGATAAGCAACACAACCAAGAGCAGCTTGGGTGAGGAAAGGGTTTATTTTATCTTCCATTACCAGGTCCCAGCCCATCACTGAGGGAAATCAGGGCAGGAAGTCACATGAGGTACTAGGTGGTGGGAACTGTAGAGGAAGGCTGCTTGCTTGCTCTCCAGCCTCTGTTCAGCAGCTGTTGTAGGTAGTGCAGAGCCTCATGCCTAGGGATGCTGAGCCCTTCTATATCAATTAGCAATTAAGAAAATGCCCCACAGACAGGCGCACAGGCCAGTCAGGTCCAAGCAGTCTCTCAGTTGGGACTCTTGGATGATTCTGGGATGTATCAAGTTGACAGCTGAAGCTAACTAGGAGAAGCATTATCCAGTAATGCTCAGTGTTTATGAAATTTTCCAGACATCTTCAGGGTCTTATCAGATTGTCTTTAACTTTGAAAAGAGTTTGAAATAGCCTGAAATCATATCTCTCTCTCTCTCTCTCTCTCTCTCTCTCTCCCTCTCTCTCTCTCTCTCTCTGTCTCTCTCTCACATACACACACACTCCTATATGTATACATGTATATGGGTATATGCATATTATATATTATTTATGTATACATGTAAATAACATGGAAATCGTTGTATAGAATAGAGCATTTTGCCGTTTCAAGAATGCAGGACATTAATTTTTTTGGGACTACATGTTCTGCATATTGAGTGAATCATGATCCAGCTCTCATTATTGTATACAAGTCTTATGGTAACACTTTACTAGCAATAATAATGCATGTATCTTTAAGATGATAAGCTGTGATTTTCACAATGAACTTGTGAAAATTAAAATACTTCTATTGAACACTATGTTCTTTTAAATTAACTTTTCAGAAGGAGGACGGACTGGCTTTTGTCATGGCAAATCTTCATTTTCATCGTCTTGTGGAGAGAAGCACATTAGGCTCAGCCACTATGTATGTATCTGTATGTGGGTGAATTGGATTTATGTGTGGTCAGGATAGAAGTCGGTCTGTCTTAATAGTCTAACAATAGCTATAAAAGTATTCCATGGCCAGTAGACACAAGACAGCGGACATGACTGACCTCTTAGCTATTGCTAGCATAATTGTATTATTTATGAATATGTGTCTGCTTGATTTATTCTAGTTTAAGGACTTTATACCTGGTAGAGTATTACTTACAGAGGCAGGAGTACTTTGCTTTGATAGCATGCTATCATTCTCCCTCAAGTTCTCTTACTTAATGTGAAGTTTGGGACTTTGAAAATGTACAGACCTTTGACCCTCTGGTTGACTCTGTTCTGCTTTTGTGGGTGTCTTCGAATATTTCAGCTTATTGTTAGGTGGGGAGCATTTTTTTCTGTCTCCCTGAAGCTTTCCCCTGGGTCTTTCCCTTACTCACTTTTTAAATATCTGTAAAGCTCTTGAATGCTTTTAAGTATGTTCCCTTCCATGGTGAGGTTTTTCTTACTGAAATAATTGGTTGGTTTTAGCTTGAGTGTTTGCCTGATTCCCTGACCTGTAGTCTGTGTTGGTGAACCTTCTGCTGGGTGCCTCTGTCTTTGGCCATTGAGAACTACTATTGTAGGGTGGATCTCAGTCACGGTCCCTGTGGTGGTCAGAATGCTGCCTGTAGAACTCTATATTGGTTCTGATTTTTGTAGAAGTTGGTGAGAACAACAAAGAACAGTTCTTTTGAGTTCACAGTATGAAGATTATTAGGGCTCCTATATAGTGTGTCATTGGTGGGAGGTAGTGAATTGAATAGATAATAATTTTTAGGAGTATTTTCCAACCAAGTATTTAGTCTGTGATGTTGACAGATTTGTCTGTTTTGATTGCTTTTCAGCCCCTATGTGCTGCCTCCTCATAGCCCCTTTGTGGATGACAGCCCCGAGTATGGACTGCAAGGCTATCAGCTTCACATTGACATGCATGGCGGGGGGATTTTCTACCTGTGTAGTACATTTCGCAACCTCTTCTCCAGGAAAGGTGAAATTGAGTTAACGTTTGTTTCTGAAATTGGTGGGTTGTAGAGAAGAGAAACTGTTCTGTGTGCAAGTTAGGAATCCCCTCCGAGCTGTCCTTTATCTTCTGTCAGCGCCTGTGTTCCCCGGCTCTCTCTCTGCCTAGACGGGATTGGGAAGTGCTGCAGCCAGCACAGCTGCTCTGACCCTGGCTCTGGCTCCACCGTTCTCTCACCTCTAGAGGAGCCTTGCCTCCTCTTTTCTGACCACATTCCAGACTGTCTTTCTTACTTCCAAATCTTCCCTCTCCCAGGAATTTGGAAAATGTCACAGGGTGAATGCCACGGCCGTACAGAGTGAGACCACAGAGAAGCCGGTTTTTCTCATATGTGCACTGTCTCAGGGTTTGCCGTTTGCCACACTTTCTGAAACTAAGGAAAGGGCTGGAGGAAACGCAAGCTCAGAATGCATACCCTATTGTGATCCACTGCCTGTTCCCTTTTGGGGTTGCTTGTGAACTCTTGAAGTCTAGTGTAGATCTGCTTGGGTTCAAGTTTAATATTTTTGGTGAGTATATTTTATAGAGGAAAATGGAACTTCATTATGTGTCATATTATAAGGCATGCTATGTCAGGCTGCCCTATCAGTAATGCTGGATTTCATCATTTGGTTAAGAGGACTATTGTGTTTCCTCACTGGGAAGGCATTCTTTTTCAAACATAATTACCCTAATCCTCTTCCACCTGGTGAACTGCCATCCACCTAATGACCCTTGTCCAAATCATATTTTTTTGAGTTTAGAAAAATGTTGACTTTAAAAAGTTATGGTGTTGGTTTTAGATTTGTAGGCCGAACTTTTCTGTAAAGCATGTTCTCTTACCACTGTGAGCCACAGAAGCAAGTAAGCACCCAGTTCTTTCCCTTCAGCTACTGCTGGCCAATTAAGAAATACCCTTTATGGTAGACTAAAACTATTCATGTTTAGTGTGACATTGGACTTTTGAATTTTTATTTACTTAATGTCCTATAACTAGCTATAGCCAGTCTTCCGTTTGAAGCTAAAATTGTCATCAGGAATCTGTATCATGGTGGTCTGTGCCTCTCACACCCGTGCATTAGTCTGGTG